CACTTCGGCATCAATTGCTTTTTCAGTATATATGTTTTCGACCTTATATGAGTCACATATTATAACATAGTTGATAATAATGAAATTTGAAAATGATAAAGTTGCAAAATTGTTAGTGTTTCACATAAAAAAATTGAGATTGTAAAACTTCCTCTATTCGAGTTTGAAATCGACTACCTGGATGCATAGATATGGTTTTAATTGCACACGAATTAAATATTTCATGTTCAATTTTTTTTCCAAAGAAATGAATTGATTAAATTTAGTTGCAGAATAAAAATAAATAAATACCTTCTCCTTCATCCGAGTTTGAGACTAGTTACATTATGTCTACATTGAATTTCTTATCCCAAGTAAAATACTGCTCCTCAAGTTACGAATGAAAACTTCATTGGTTATGTTTTTATTGAAAATCATATTGAAGAGCCCCCATGTTATCTTGGGTCGAAAACAAACATTTCAATTAAGATAAGAGTGAAAAAAAAATTATTTACGAAAAATTCTTATTTTTAGAACCAAAAAGCAAAAAAATAAAATAAAATAAAATAAAAAATTAAAATTAAAAAAATAAAGATTTGAAATCCAAAATTCTTCCTTCAATTTCAAAAACGAAATTGAAAATCAATTCAATTCGAATTTACGCAATGATAAGTACCACCACCCTCGTCTAGAAGGCAAGGGTAAATAAGTCAATTAAGGCGTGAGCTGAATTGGCGAGAAGCTGAGACCATTGCCAATTTGACATCCGAATAGATGCCGTTAACAATGAAGTCATATGATGACGTAATATTGCTTACATCTAAATTAACATTTTAAGTCAATGATTGACTTCTAACCTTAAACGGGCCCAACAGATTTATGAATGATTGAATGCCAATGCTTATCCCGTGAGTGTGGGCCCAATCTGTATTTTTCACAATCGATCACAAATTTCAACAAAAGATTAGAGTTACAATCTTTGATAATTAGAATAAAATTATTTGGAAACGTGTGGGGATGACATTACGGTCTCCTTTTGTCAGGGATTTTCCCTACCGTCACTGTCCAAATCTCGGTACCCAAGACGGGAACGGGACAAAATCCTCACCGTCCCTTTTAGGTTTACATTTTTTTTTTTTTTAAATCCATATGTTTATTTTTAATGGTCGAGCTTGGATGATATGGTGTGGGAATATTTTTTTTTTTAATATAAATGGGAAGACATTCGTGGCCGGATTATGATCCCGTCCTCACCCTCGACTCGTTGAAAAAGATAATTAAAAAATGAAGAACCTTGTCAAAAGTGTACTTATTTCTTATTCATGAATAATGCAGTGATCGAAGATGTCGTGGTGGGAACTGATTGGATGAGATAGTTGACTGTGTTTAAAACAATTCAATGATAAAACGCTACGTGATATTATGTTAAACTTTCTGTTCCTATAGCATGAATGTATGTTGAGAGAGAGTGAGAGATTTAAACATGAGTTATGGATATAAGGAGGGAAAATATTTTATTTCGCTTTTTAAAATCAATTTGTAATTTTCCATCCAACGAAAGCGAAGGGAAGTGGAATTCAACTCTACTTTCTATGAAGTCTTGAGACTTTTCTCTTCCACCAACTTTCGTGGTTACCAGAAAAAAATCATGAAGTACAGCACCTCCACAATATAAGACCTGGTCAAGGGCATTTCAATTATAAAAAGTTAAGCAAAAGATACAAATAAAACCAAGCCTAATAGTAATCTAATATTTGGTAGCCAAGGACTAGGGTTTGGGAATTGATTTCACTCAATGTAAGTCCTAGCAATGTGATTTGGATAGAGTTAGCTTAATTGAAATCAAATTAAAATGTTGTGAAACAGTTCGATTCATATCTGATGTGGACATTAAAGAATTTAGATGACATTTTCTTAGTACGAGAGGACCAAAAAATCTCACCTTTGGTGTACCTGCAAATTGAAATTAAATTAAAGTGAAATAACTCGATTGAAATCAAATTAAAATATTGTTATTTGAGAAGTGCAATGATCTAATTGACATTAAGAGTATAATTACCATGAATTGAGTTTTCCCAATTTTTGAAACGAGTTTCAATGGTGGAAATGGAAAATTACCTTATTTTTTAAAATTTATATGAAAGTATTCAACTTTCACTCAATGAAACATAAATTATCTAAGTACAATATAACCTTTACATAAATAAGGTTGGTATCAAAAAGTTTTATTAAATAGCAAAATGTTATTAACTTATAGAGGGTCAATTCCACCCATTAATCGAAGTTGGGATTGAAAAAAATTATTATCTATCGGAGGTTATTAATTTATAGAGTTTATACGGTATATTATCCTGAATTAAAAAACTTGCACGACCAATTAGACTCAACTCCTATATTTTATCAACTTGACCCTAAAATTTAATCAATTGAACTCTTCACTCGACGAACTTGACTCTACTAAATTAAGTTCGGTTGATATGAACCCTATCTTCATATTTATTCTGTGCTTCTCTAACCTTCCCCACCCCCACCCCCCACCCTTTCCCAGTCAAATTTGCTAGAAGTGTGAACAGAGATCCAAAAATGAAGAAAAGAAAAATATTCTATCTTTAAGTAGAAAACAAAGAAAATTCAAAACTATGAAGTAATGTCTTTGTCAAGTTTTAAGAAAATCTTACGACTAATTTCATTTCCTCTCACTATTTCATTTCCTCTCACTATTTCGGAGATAATTCATCTTTTTCCACTAAGTCCAAGTTTTTCTCATGTTTATAAATATAATTATTTTACAAGTACAAAAAACAGAAAGACTATGTACAAGTGCTGCGTTGGCAGCAGCTGTATGGCTTTTTTTGTACTTTTTTCATCTTCCAATGATAATCTGCCAAGTGTTTATTTGTGTAATTTTTGTGAAAATTTTTCTGTACCTATAACATTGTTATTATAAATATTCAAGAAACTTCTTATCACCAAGAGTTTACGTACGTTACTAGAAATCATATATACATGTCACTATCGAGTTATATATGTTCAGTTTATTTTAACACGATTAGATGATTAAAAATATTTATTTATTTAAATTATGTTTCAATACATTAAGCCCCTATTTGGTGTAGTGAAAATCAAAATTTTTGTAGCTTTTGATAAAAGTTGAAAATAGGCCTAGGCAAAAAAAATCGAAAAACGACCAAACCAATCAAATCGAACCAACTTGAGTCGGTTCGGGCTGGTTCGATACATAATTGATTTGGTTTGATTTTCTTTTAAACAAAGGTCATGTCTGGTACAACTTTTCATCTTGATTGTAATTGAAAATCTTACCCTTTTTTTCTCCTTTGGGACCCACCCGTGAGAGGATGGATCAAGAAATACGGCAACCAACAGTCACAATTTTGATAGAAATCAAGGGAGAAGCACCCCCAGACAAGTAAAAAATCATGATGGGTCAGTTCAGTTATGGTTTGAAATTTCATGTTATTGATTAACTGAACCAATCTAACCCACTTACGTGTTCACTTTTTTTTTTAAATCTAAGAAAAATAAAAATCACATAATAAACTCTAATCACATAACTATATCCCGATTCCTTCCAATCTATGATGTTGTCGATAAGTAATGACACTAAAAATTTTCTTTCACTGGCTTATTAAGATATACTTAGCATTTTTTTTTTCATATTCAAGCAATCAAACTACATAATATATAAAAAAATAATAAATTTTTTAAGTTTTTTTGTTAATCCGTCTCTATTAACCTGATTTTATTTATTAATCAATAGTTATTTTAGTTCTTGTCATTTAAGTGTACCTAAAACTCAAAACAAACTTTAAAAAAAAAAAAAAAAAAATTTAATTTGGATTAAAAGTCCAAACCATTTAACTAAACCAAACCAAACCAAATCGATTTGGTTTGGTTCGGTTCAATTTAAGAGTTACAGTGGTTTGGTTGGGTTTGAAATTTGTCTAAACCGACTAATTTAGTTTTTGTTTCGGATTGAAATCGAAACCGACCGAAACCAAATCGCACCCAAGCCTAGTTGAATAAGTATGTGATTAAAAAGTTTATAAAAATTAGGAATCTTATAAAATGTGTGATTAAAATTAATTGTTGACTTTCACTCAAATTTTAACAAAATTTTTAAGTGACACCAAATAGGGGCTAAATGTTTAATACGTACACAATTTTTATAAAAGAGATATTTCATTCGCATGCTCTGTCCCCATACAAGTCATAAGATGATCTTCTATGACTAAACAAGATAATATTAATAAATATCTCGGAGAATATTTAAATCTTCATTGTTTGGCATGCAAGTAAGAATTTCTTGACCAGTATATATTTATGTGTTACCTTGAACATGGACACATCATAGTACAAATTAAAGTTTTTCTCCAAGAACCTCAATTTCCACGCAATTTCCATTTCGTATAAAACAGAACCGGAGACTTGACTTCAAGATTTTTAACCCTATAAATATTATGTCATCATGCATACTTCCATTCATACATTTGATCAACTAACCATACTGGTGAAGGCCAGAAAAACACAATACAGAGTTCTTCAACATTTCAATGGAAACAACTCTTGATATTGACCTTAACACCAATCCCAGAAGTAACCACAGTGAAATTCCGGTACGTGGGTCTACTTGAAATATTAATGAAGAAAAAGGAACTAAAATTTAGATAATTCTTCTTGTACAATATACCCTTATTTCTTGTGCCATTAATTTCTTAGACATATTTATGTTCTGTCAGAATGAGGATTCAGAAAAGGAATTTGGTGGGGAGAGCAAGTCATCGTCAATGAAAGAAGAGGTGAGTATAGCAAAGTTCAGTTTCTTCTTCCGGCGTTGTATTGTACTTTAGTTTCCCTCGTAACAAATTCAAATATAAATTTATTTCTTCTTTGCTTGTATAATTCACCTATGCAGCTCATCTAAATCATCTTTTCTGTTGTTGTCTTCTTCTTCTTCTTCTTCTTCATTTTTTCCTTCTTTTTATCCTCGTCTAGTTCGAAAAAAGTATGTCAAACTCGGATAATTTTGATTTTCTAAAACCAAAACCTCGTGAAACTTGTTTCTTCGGCATTTTGTAAACCGTTATGAAATGTTTTCTCTAACAATATTTAGTCACCATGGAAAGCATAAATTCGTGAAGCGTTTTAGTTTTATTTTATTTTTATTCTAATATTTCCCCCAGTTGCTAACCTCAAAATTGTAATTATTTGTGCAGTCTTATAGCTTTTTGATTCAGCAGTTAAATCAGATGAAATTTGAGAATAAGAAGCTGATAGAATTAATCACTATTGTGTGTGAAAATTACAACAATTTGATGCAAAATTACCCAGGAGATGAACTCTTGAAATCAAGAAAGAGAAAGGCTCATTCTACAGAAAATGGTGACAATTCTGTTGGAAAAAATGGATTCACTTGTAGCTTATGTGATGAAGGGTCATCTGGGACACCAAATGAAATTGTGTCAAATGTTTCAAAGGTTCATGTACGCATCGATCCATCTGATACGAGCCTAGTAAGTTAATTATTGAGCTCAAATCATATGACTTAATGAAAAACATTTCAATGGAAACAACTCTTGATATTGACCTCAACACCAATCCCAGAAGTAACCACAGTGAAATTCCGGTACGTGGGTCTACTTGAAATATTAATGAAGAAAAAGGAACTAAAATTTAGATAATTCTTCTTGTACAATATACCCTTATTTCTTGTGCCATTAATTTCTTAGACATACTTATGTTCTGTCAGAATGAGGATTCAGAAAAGGAATTTGGTGGGGAGAGCAAGTCATCGTCAATGAAAGAAGAGGTGAGTATAGCAAAGTTCAGTTTCTTCTTCCGGCGTTGTATTGTACTTTAGTTTCCCTCGTAACAAATTCAAATATAAATTTATTTCTTCTTTGCTTGTATAATTCACCTATGCAGCTCATCTAAATCATCTTTTCTGTTGTTGTCTTCTTCTTCTTCTTCTTCTTCATTTTTTCCTTCTTTTTATCCAGAAAAAAGTATGTCAAACTCGGATAATTTTGATTTTCTAAAACCAAAACCTTGTGAAACTTGTTTCTTCGACACTTTGTAAACCGTTATGAAATGTTTTCTCTAACAATATTTAGTCACCATAGAAAGCATAAATTCGTGTAGCGTTTTAATTATATTTTTTTTACATTTTAATATTTCCTCCAGTTGCTAACCTCAAAATTGTAATTATTTATGCAGTCTTATCGCTTCTTGATTCAGCAGTTAAATCAGATGAAATTTGAGAATAAGAAGCTGATAGAATTAATCACTATTGTGTGTGAAAATTACAACAATTTGATGCAAAATTACCCAGGAGATGAACTCTTGAAATCAAGAAAGAGAAAGGCTCATTCTACAGAAAATGGTGACAATTCTGTTGGAAAAAATGGAATCACTTGTAGCTTCTGTGATGAAGGGTCATCTGGGACACCAAATGAAATTGTGTCAAATGTTTCAAAGGTTCATGTACGAATCGATCCATCCGATACGAGCCTAGTAAGTTAATTATTGAGCTCAAATCATATGACTTAATGAAAACTCGTTGAATTGCCTCATCTGAAAGTTAATTCTTGAGGACGTAAAAAGATGATTTATATAAAATATTGTGCAGTCTATCTTACCAAACAAACCATAAAGATCTAACGCGATTTTGACTACAGGTAGTAAAGGATGGATATCAATGGAGAAAATATGGACAAAAGGTGACTAGAGACAATCCATCTCCTAGAGCCTACTATAAGTGCTCTTTTGCCCCATCTTGCCCAGTCAAGAAGAAAGTGAGTCCATTTCATGGAATATAAAATCTATTGTCAACCTGCAGATTGGACGAAACACCAAAATGGACAAGATTTTAGCCTATTTCCTTTTTAATACACTGGTGCAGTTGAAATTATGCCTATGTTTGAAAAAAATTTAAACGTTACTGGTTAAACCACTTTAATCCACTCATTTCTTTCGATATATAAACACTTCCCAAATATAATCATTTTTCTGAATATTCCATGAGTTTATTGCTCCTTGCGCTTGGTGAATGAGTTGTGCACATACTTTAGCACATAAACAGCATCTTTTTTTCTTCTATTTTCTTTTATTTATTTTTTTTTCTCAAAATTAGGACAAACTTACACGTAAGTTATGTCAATACGCCCTTTCAAGTGCAGCCATATTTATTTTTTCATCCTATGGTCAGTACAGTGCGAGACTTGAACTCAGGATGTGTCTCTGTTTCATTAGAGACACGTACTTATTTATGCAAATTATGTCTTCCACAAGTATACTAACTTATTTGAGGAAATAATTGATTTATACTCGTAGGTGCAAAGAAGTGTTAATGATCCATCACTTTTGGTAGCAACTTATGAAGGCAATCACAACCACAAAAATCCTAATGAAGATGAAATTTCAATAGAATTGTTAAAGGGAGTAAATGATATCTCATCCTCCAGCTTTGTCTCCTTATCCATGGTTGAACAAATGGCATCTACTTTAACAAGAAATCCCAGTTTCACGGAAGCACTAGCAGCAGCAATTACAGGGAGAATTTTAGATCATGAAATTGAAGAAAATTGATTCAAGAAAATTTCAAGGATTTCAATCTTTATTGGCATCTGGGTTCATTTGAGAATGTAAAATTTAGCCAAAAATTGTTGAATCTGCATTGTTAAAGGTAATGAAGTAGTAGATATTGTTTGGGAAACGGGATTGTTGTCAAGTTTTGTTTCGCTTGTTGAAGACAGTATATAAATAAATAAACAAATCTATTTCTCAATTAGCTTAGAATTTTTGGATGGGAAAATCGATTGTGACAATAAAATGTATAAATGTTATGTTCAAATCTTACTACCTAATATTTATAAAAACTCCCCCATAGTTAGATCTCTCGTGATAAAATAGGCCCCTATTTGATGGTCATTACAAAGAGAAATTGAGGAAAAATAATGTTTTGAGAATGATTTATTTATTTATTTATTTTTAAAGAATGTATAATTAAAAAGTAGACTACAATTTTGGATTTACATACAAAATACTTTGTTGTGTAAATATATGATTAAAAATAAATATGAAAAATAAAAAGTTGTGAGATAAACAGAGGCAAACAGGGGCTAAATATGATTTGCTTATGAAGGTAGCAGGTTGAGTTTGACTAATCGCCTAAATCGAAGCTTGTTTTTCTCTTGCTATACTGGGTAGTCAACCAATATAAAGATTTTCGTTCATGCCAAATTCTCACAACGATTTCTACTCAGCAGGGTCGGTTTTGGGTATAATGGGGGCCTCAAAAAAAAAAAATTTAAAGTATAAAAAAATATTTATTATGGAATTTCCTCAATTTTCTTACATTAGATATTTCGTGATAATGCAAATAAAGTAGGGGCCTCCCTATGAATAATATCTTTCAATTTATTGCTGCTTTGAATTTTATTTTTAAATATAAGATATTTTTTATTATAAATAGTAGGCAACATCCTCCTACCTCACTGATTTTCAAAAAAATCTATATATTGTATTTCTTCAAAACGAAATTTGATTCTCGTACAAATTAAATGATGAGTGAGTACCAAAGGCATAATATTTTTTATCATGAGAAATTGTTTTATTCAGACATGTTTGATACCAATATGCTTGTAAAAAAATTATGTATAGAGGCCTCATGATAATTTGTCGTTTGTCGTCTAGGGCCTAAAAATTTTCAAGATTGGCCTTGCTATTCAGTCTTTAGGAATTCCTAAGCATTAGCGAAGAAAGAAGCCTACTTGAAGAGGGCTGAGCCAGAGTATGGTAAAAATACCCATGGGGTCCCGTCCCGAACGGGGCGGGGATTACCCACACAATTGGGTATTCAAGTTGGGTACGAGGTGGGGAATTACGCCCCGAGGCCAGTATGAGTAACAGGGGTCCCATCCCATGCCATTTAATTTATTTTTTTAAAGAACTCAATATTTAAATAGAAAAATTCCATGAAATTTCATTAATTCTAATAGAAGATAACAACTAAGATTATCTAAAGAAAAACGATAGAAACCTTAGTTTACCAAATATATTCGAATAATTTAACTTTTAAAAATAAATGAATTAATTAAAAAATTTAATAACTATATTATTGTCTCATTTGAATGAATGAGAGCAATAAAATAAATTATCAAAAACTATAATAAATAAATAAACGAGTACGTAAACGAGACAATCGCCCCACATTAAACGGGTGACGGGATGGAAAAATACCCGACGGGATGGGACGCAAGCGTGCCAGGCCGTTGCCAACCCTAAGCTAGAGGACTAAGAGAGATAGACCACTTCAATTAGATTCATCTCGTCTAGAAACCGCAAAGCTAAATTAAGCATGCACATCTACCAAAGCAGAATCATGTGTGTAGGCACAAATTTTCAAATTTCATTAGATCTTCTTGACTATTATTCGAAAGGTCCAATTATTTTGATTGTGCTATGTTCATAGTTAGTGTAAAAAGTAACTTCTTCCCAACTTTAATATACAAATACACTAAAACTAACTTAATTTATTTATAAGTAAACTTTTTAAGCTTAATCAAACACAATGAAACAACCACGAAAATTGACCAAATGAAGAAAACCATCAGCCTGTTTAGGAGTGATTTTTTGGGTCAAAAAATTGATTTTTTGACCGTTATTTTACTCAATTTTTTGACCGTTATTTTACTTTTCTAGCCAACATATTTGATTTCTTCTCTCACAGGTGGATCCTACTTTTCTTCTAACGGTCAAAAAATCAATTCTCAAAATCACTCCCAAACAGGTTGCATAAATTGGAAGAAAAAGAAAGCTAACATTTTCGTATAAATACATTAGTAAACGAAATCTGGTTGAGATCTCTTTAATACATTCAAAACAATATAATGTTCCAAAGTAACTCGATAATTCTTACTTCAAACCTCTGCATCAAACAAACAGGTAAATCATAGTACATTTTGTCATTTATTAATTTATAATCGCAGTTCTGTACAACATAAGAATCAGAAGGTTATGACAGCATACTATTTGGGAAATTGTTGCCCCGTTTCTGTAATTTTGAGTAGAACATTTAAATCCTATCACGTTGACATTTCTTGAAAGTCAATGTTTTCGTGAAGCCAAATAAAACAACGTTAATCATTCTGGTGAACAAATCCTGCTAACGTGTTCTGAATGACATCTCGGGAAGGATTGGACATAAGGTAATGGCTATCGGTCTGATTGAATCAAGTTTGGATAAAGAACTTTTCATTTCACTACTTTGTTTGAATCGCGCTTGTCTCAGTATTCTTGTTCTGAATCTCTTTTGTGGACGAAGAACTCAATTTAGCCTTCTCATACTCTGATTCTTTGAGGGCTTTTTTCTTTTCAAGTTCGACTTGCTTGCAGTTTTCCTCGTGAGCCCGTAGAAACATCCTCACGAAATTCAGCAAAGTTGATACAACTGCAGAAACATTTCAATGAAAATGAAATATCAGTTGTGTGAAACAAACATCAGAGGGAGCAGAAATTTAACATAAAAATCATTGAACAATGAAGAACAACCCCATAGTCAACTTAAAAAATCCTTCATGAAAGCTCGGGCTGCCATTTCTCATTAAGCAGGCGATAAATGCATAAGAATCAAGCAAAGAGTGGTGTGTGGTTTCTGTCTCATACAAGCATCTGATGAAGTATTATTGGATTGATTACTCTTATCTACGAGAAGTCAATAGGAATTATAATCGAAGGTATAATACTAATCAATCTTTGACGGGCACCATCCGTCTTTTTCCTTGATGAAAAAGTTATTTAGTTGTTCATTAAGAATAATGTATTAGGTTTCATTGTTAGCCATTACTCTTTCTAAGCATCACCACAAGAGTTTCCCGAAAAAGAACCAAAATTTGTCTCCATCTAGCTTGATACACTCTGATGTTCAGAGCCCCTGTCGTATCACTGTTATTTCACAAACCCATGGATGGTACCTTCATAGTTGAATCTTCCCAAACAACTTGCATTTACCTAATGAAATTCAAATATGAGATCTCATCTATTTTTGTATATTTCAATAACCAGTTAGCCCTCAGTTTAGGAAAATTAAAACATTCAGGACTGATAAATTGGTAAAGACTAAATCAATCAAGAATTGACGATGTAACTGGAACGAAAGGGAACGATACACGGGCTGCCCGTGGCTCGGCTCGGGGCTCGGTAGACCCGAGCCTAGGCTCGGGCCGAGCCCCATTTTGGGGACACAGGCTTTGCCCGAGCCGGCCCGTGAGCTCGCGAGCTTTTTAATAAAAAAAAAAAAAATTTAAATTTAAGGCCATAAAAGGCAGCAGATTAGGGGGAAAAAAAAGGGGGAGAAAACGAGCCTGCCCGGCTTAGCCCGTAAAAAGCCCGAGCAAAAGCTCGGGCCGAGCCTTTTTTTTTGGCCGAGCAAAAAAGCTCGGCCATTTTAACCGGGCCGAGCCGGAGCCGAAACTTTAGGCTCGCGAGCCGACTCGGCCCGGCTCGTTTACATCCCTATCCGTGGAGACACTTCACGACAAAACTGGGTGGCTAGGGGAAAAATTAACATCTCTTAGAGGTACCTCTGGCTATTTTGTTTCAAATGTAAGTGCCTGAAAGAGACTAGAATACTAACAAGAATTCTTGAACTTGACAATGAGAATAATATATAATAAGAGCATTCATAAGACAAGGTTTACACTTTGTCCTTGTTTGACTCCCATTCTTCCAAAAATTCTTTTTTTCAAAACTCATTTTCCACCACACATTCTTCAATAAAATAATATTACACGCAAATCCAAAAATTTTCTTTAATTTTTAACCACACATTCTCTATCAATCTACAATTTAAAATGCATTATTTCCTCCAAAATGGGGATCAAGCAAGGGCTTTATTATAGTTAAAAAATTTCATCCATAACCATAGATATGTAAGATAACAGCCTTAAGTAACAAGTATAATACAACCTCGGGATATGTACCTTAATTCTAGCAATTTTCACAAGAAGATATTTGCCAAGGATTTGGTAAGACAAAATATTTTTGGAGAGGGATAGGACGTCATTTAAATTTAGTGTTCTACACTAAGTGCATGTTTGGCAAAGCATAAATTAAAATTTATGAGGGTCAAACTTACTTTTTATCTATATATTCATAGAAACCACAACTACTACCCGCTTATTACCCACACGTTTCATTGGACCCACAACTTATGACCACTGACGTTTTAATTTAAGCACTCACAAGCATGCTTAAGATAAGAGAGACAAAGCTCTAACAAGAAGAAAAGAAGCAAATAAAAAATTTTAAAGGGTATGCGATGGAATATTAGAAGATACATTATTATATTTAGTTTTCAATTTTGATGTTTAATTTAGAAAACATAATTAGGGATTGATTTTATAACATTTTCCTATTTCAATTAGGACTAGTTTAAACCTTATATAAAGGGGGCTTATGCAATGTAATTGAGACAACTTTGATATATTAAAAAAATAGATTTCCTCTTGCCCTCAATTCTTCTCTTCTTTGCACCCATTTCTTTCTCTTCTTCTCTTCCTTTCCCCTATCCTAGAATTGTTCCATAGCATCCTATGTCAGTATGACGGGAAATTAAACACCTATTCAGATGCCTCCACGCAAAACAGATTGAAACAGATGAGGACAAACAATTACATCATAGCATGATAAAAAACCACAAGATGTCATCAAAACTTTTAACAGGAATACCTTGCTCAAATGGACAACGAGCTGGATCTTCCCCAAAATAAAGAGCCAGTGCATCTGCATTCCTCCCCTAGAAACTCCAAAAATTTCTTGAATTAGCTTCTTTATATGAACATGCAAAGTGGGGAAGGAATACAAATTCATAGGCCACAGAAATACCACTCCAGAATATAGTGAAGCCAGAGATCTCACTTCGCTTTCAGCATAACCAAGAAAGTCTTTTAGCATCTAGCATTTTCAACAAAAAATGGTTAGCTAGAGACTGACATGCATAAATAAGAAACACATAAATATGGATAGTGAGAGAGAGGTATACGTCTGAAATAACTTACCTTGCTTTAAAAACTTGACATTAATAATTGTATGCAATATGGTAGCAAAAGTAATAATGGAACCACATATTTCTAGTCATGGATGAAATATGAGTACAAAAAAAGTGTGAACTAATGTAAGAGGCCTTGACTAGTTGTGATTTCAATAGATTTTTCTCTTTTAGCATAGAAGTGATACAAATAATTTGAGTAGATGTAAGGGTGGTAGAAATGGCCTACGTAAAGAGCTTAGTCAAATAAATAATCAACATTGATAAGAAAGAAATTGCATCATTCATAGAACATGAGTAACATTGGAAAGCTACCTTGCAGAAGTTTTCTGAGATAGGACCATCATTTTGAGAGGCAGCCAGTTCCTGCATAACTTTTTCCAGTCCTTTGCTAAAGGCTTGCATTTCCTCCGCCAAATACTTCAACTGAATCTGCATCGCAAAATTACTGATCATGTTAATAGTTAAGTAATTCTAAAAAAATGTTTTCCTAAGATGAGAAAAAGAAATGTACCTTTGTTGCAGCCTCCAAATTTACAAGGTCTCTCTGAAAATCCAAGACTTCAGGCAGTTTTTCAGCAAGCACCTATAGTTCAAAGGAACGCATGGAGTGGATGGATTTAGAGAGTTCTTCAACACAACACTGGTACAAAAGAGATAATCTACAGAGGCGGTGACAATGAAATCAAAAGGGCAGACAGAAAAATCTGGAACTGTACTGAACTCTGGTTCTGTGATAAACATTGACTTTGTTGTAATATCTCATATTTAGTGTAGTGTATATAGCACGAGATAGTCATCAAAACATAACTCATATTGTACCTTGCACAGATAGTGCATAAGCGTCAGCTTCTTGTTACGTGCTCGTGTTTCAGTAAGTTTTAGAAGACTATCCAGGCGAAATCCAACAGCAGAACCTAAAGTATGAAGGTATGAATTATCCAATTTAGCAAGGAACATAATATGGAATTCAAGCATTTTCAAGAGATAATTGGATCAGTTAGAGAAGCACTGCAATCAGAACAACAGAACATCCATAGAAATTTATAGGGTGGAATTTTCTCATCCTAACGTGGAAGTTCAGGTGTAACTTCATAAATATGAAGTTGACTGACTGTAAATGATCGCAAAGGGTGACATATGACTTTAGCACTAATGTAACTGGAATGGACAAAATCAAATCAATGAGCTGATCAGCTGAGCCAGTCGTTCATCAGGCTATCCTTGTTCTTGGGTCACACTATGTACGAGCTAATCTACCTCAACGCAAGCAGAATAGAAACCCCCCGGCCAAGGAGCTCATCAACGACCTGTGACTGGATGATGCATAAGAACTCAGATATGAATTGGAACTGGCATAGGGTCTGACCAGTTATAGTTGAGCCACTGGCCAAACAAACAGTTTGTCTGATCAAAATTATCTCCTTGGACAAATATCGTACAGGATTCAACATTTAGTATGTCACAAAATAGTAAAATACTCTCAAAAAAAGGTCCAAACCTAAAGACCCACATGATAAGTAAATGAAAGTTTTCGATTCTGCTCACCCCTTGCCGTTCCATGATTCAAAGCATTACCCAGTGAAAGAATCGTTTGCATGATTCTTTTCAGCTTGATCGAATTCCTGACCTGGTAAAAACTGCCTTCAGGGAAATACCTTTATAATAGAAGCAAGAGGAAAGAAAAGAGCATAGTTGCTTGCCTCTTCAGATGCAGAATTCACGATATTTAAACTATTTCTCAATTCAGAAACCTGGAGATGAGAATTGAATGTAAAAAATATCGGTGCATGAAAAAGAAAAACAGAATAATTTGATTGAAAATTATAAACTGGAAAAATTAAGTGATAAGAATAAATAAAAAGCAAAATATAGTATATAATAAAGCTAGATTTCCTTCTACCTGGGAACAAAATTGAATTTTAAATGAGAAAACTCTTAGCTTGGACTCTACCCTTGGAACTTTCATTAACTCCAAGAAAAACTGAAACATGTGGAAATAGAACGTGTTATAAGGCCATAAGATGAGGTCTTTCCTCTAGTTGGGATACTGCGAGTTCACATATTCATGAAACCATGGAAAAGGTAAAAGTAAGAGAAGAATCCCACCCACCTGTTCACATTTTCCAAGGTTCTCCTTGTCCCCATTGTAGTTCTGGAAAATGAAATATTATTCCAGGGGGAGTGAGAAATTAACATGTGAATATGCAGCAATCAAATTATAAATAACGAAGCCATCTCATGTTTATTGCACTTCAGTTCCCATGATTATAGAAGTCAATAGGATGAAGAGTACTAGTATAAAAAAGACAAATGACTAGGAAATAAAGGAACACCTTGAGAAGTTCCATTTCTTCTTTGGTTGGACTAAATTTTATAAGATTATCAACCTGATCGATGTCCAGTGCTGAGTCATCCATAATAAGGATCGAATTCTGTCGACAAAATTCAATGTAACAATCTAAGAGAACGCTATAAAGTAACTTTAGTTTGCTATTTCTTAGTAGATGAGCAGAGCAAGCAATACAACTGATATGTGAAGAATAAGCCACTTCCATATCCATAAACTAAAACAATCGTAGAAATATTTCTAAACTACAATCTTAGGCGCCCAAAAATGCTGCACATATATGCTAACATTGCTGTGACTGTTACTATGCATGAGCATGCACTCGAAAAGGAGATAACACTAGTCTACAAAATCAGCTAGAAATCATTCAGGAGAAAATTCAGACAATCCATCAATAACATCTAAATCTAAAACTTCAGACTTTCTTGCTCGAATCATTTTTTTAGCAAGACTATTAATTTATATCATCAAACAATATAGCAAAACCGTAAAATTAAAAATCCCTAAAATGTTAATCCCATCATAATATGTACAGTTAGCCCTAGAACCACAGGGTTTCCAACATTAAGGACAGAATCAAAGGTGAAGCTATATTAGGCTAAGGAGAGATGACCCTCTGGACTTCTAAACTAAAAAGCAACTCTTTTGGATTCATTTCACATGTTCAAAGAACTTTAAGTTGGCTCCTCGAATTTTATACACTTTAAATGTTTGTCTAAAGTTTCACATCAAATATATTTTCATTATTAAACCCACCCTTCCAATCCCCAGCAACGAGCTTTTAGTTCGAAGTTCTACCCTAATCAGAACGAGTATCTATAGTTGTGAGTACTATACTATCTGCTGAAGACTGCATACTACATTGTACATATTCATATTGAAATTTCCTTTTATTTAGTTGTTTCTCCATTTTAACACAGCTTATTAATTCCTCTAATATTTTTCTGGCTAGTCATTACACATGAATTAGTTTGTGCTTCAAGTATTATTGGTATTATTGTTACACGTTAACTTTCTTTTCTACTACAAAGTATCTACAGAGGCTCTGCACATTTATTATGATACCTGTAACAATCCAGTTTCAAACTGTCCCACATCGAATAAAGATGAAAACATAGCCCAACTTATAAGGTATTGGGTTACTCCTCTTAACAATGTTAACTTTTAAAATGAAACTCCAAGTCTTAATATAGTATCAGAGCCTATTAAACTCTAACGAGTGATTCGATCAAATTAAAACTCAAAAAATGAGCATGCAGATTTCAAGATTGGTCTGTTCAAACGAGCCACCATCTTGCGGGGCATGTTAAGGAATATAATCTTATATCGAATAAAGATAAAAACATAGACCAACTTATAAGGTCTTGGGTTACTCCTCTCAACAAAATTGACCTAGATGAAACTCCAAGTCTTGACACGAACCAAAGTTGTGTTATTATCCATAAACAATAGCTAATAGAAATTGAGATTAATAGGAAATATTTACCCAAGAATTGTAAACAATAATCACAACCACCATGACAATAATGTCATGAATTTAATAGAAAATTCAATCAAGGAACAAAGTGCAATATTTTTGAAAAAATTAAACAGACACAAAAGCAGCAAATTACGTTTAGCCTACCGTCAAATCTGACATAGGAACCTTAACTTTTGTCAGCATGATTTCACAATTGTATGCCCTTCTTAGTTCAATCTGCGAATAATGGGTATACGAATATTTATAACAGCAGCATACACGTTTTTATTGGGAATAAATTAAGACCATATGAGGTTTCATGATGTACAAAAAGCATTAACATGTACAGAAAAACATAAACACTAGGCTTCCAATCACAGGAATTTAGGGCAGAGGATTATTGACAATGAGTTATAAAGTAATGGACAAAATATAAAGAGATTAATAAAAATATTAGGTCTTATTATAAATACAAAAACGTTCCAAAGGTTCCCATCTAACCAACAAATAACTACATGTGTGTGACTTCTGTAGATTAAATAAAACTATTTTGTGCATAAACTTGGAAAAAGTTTGTCACCCTCAAATACTCGAAACAAGTTAATAGAAACGAAATAAAAAAGTGCAATATGCCTCTTTACAATCCACATGGTAAAAACTAATTTTTAAGAAAATTTTTAACAAGTTTTAATTATTGACATGTTGGTTCTGTTAACTTAAATGGACCCTGTGAAACAGCACACTATACATCTCTACAAACCTAGTTAAATTCCCACAAGTCATTAGCGAGACTGCATATTTACATCAATAGCATATGAAACCGTATCACAGAAGCAGTATAACCTCCCTCGATATCTGAGAGAAAAAATGACTGACTGAGTGATAATACTTAGTTAACTTGCACCCAGTATTATTCTCAAACTAAGACGTACAAAAAACGCAGGAAATCAGAATATCTCAGACCACCAACAGAAGCAGTTTAATCCACTGACACCGTAGCAAGGCACTGAAATTCCTACCTTAAGCCCTTGTTTGAGCCACATTATTTTCATAGGAATGCATTTTTAAATAGTGTATTGATGGGAAATGTGTGATTAAAAAATAAGGAAAAGTATTAGATTTGTATGTAATATTATTTTATTGAAAAATGTATGATTGAAATGATGTCAAATCACTATTTAAGAATGTATTTTTTTCAAAGAATGTGGCACAAACAGGGCCTAAAAGTGTTTATCAATTAACAAAAAAGGAAAGAAAAGAAAGCACACTAGGCAAAATGGGGACTAATGATAAATATACTCTATGCAAAGAAACAAGATCGGCTGAAGCGGCAAAAATAATATATGATGGGGACTAATGATAAATATACTCAAAAATAACATCAGTTTTACCAGATGCACTTTATCAGATTTGAGTCCGGAAGTAAGCCGATTTGTTTTTCCGCTGGCACCTCCATGATTTGAATTTGGAGCACTGGCTGAGAAAAGACTCTCAAGCTCAGACATATCCAACTCAGGAGCTCTAACATGGATAACATAAGAGAAGATGTCATCATTACACAACTTCATGCTCACATAAAAGTAAGTCATAGCTATGAATCAATAAAGATATAGTATAGTTATATTTAATGACATACTTTGAAGCCTCCTCTGGTTTTTGTGCATCAGCCCATAGGCTCCCCTGGATAGCCCTCGTTAACTTCAACCAGTGATATGGTTTGAGGGATGTCTTTCTTCCTTGACCTTGAATTTTTGTACTCGCGCGCATTGGTAACCTTCCCTTTGTACAAAATGGAGGTGCAGGTATGCTTTTGTTATTGGCAGCAGAATTAGACTGTGAAGAAGCACTGCCAGCAATTGATAAGCCATTGGAAAGTGGAGCTGGTGGAGGTGGAACAGGCGGAACATTTTGAGAATTCCCCACGATGGCTTCCTCCTGAATGGAACTAGGAGGAGAAAGTGCTGGTGGTGCTGCTGAAGATCTAATGGTGGAAACTGTGGTTGGTCTTGAACATGGAGGTGGAGGAGGTGCTGGTGGTGCTGCAGAAGATCTAATGGTGGAAACTGTGGTTGATCCTGAACATGGATGTTGAGGAAGTGCTGGTGATGCTGCTGACAATCTAATGGTGGAATCTATGGTTGGTCTTGAACATGGAGGTGGAGAAAGTGGAGGTGGAGTGGCAGGTAATGCAGAATCTTCTGCTCGGAGCAGGAACGAATCTTGAGAGGTGGTTGAAGAAGTCGTCCTAGATAATGGATGTGGTGCAGGAAGGAAACAAGCGGATGAGTTCTGTACAGTCGATCCACTTGATGAAGACGAAGGTGGAGATGGTGGTGGTGGATGGGGGGGAGCTAATGACGTGTTCCTAAGAGTGGAAGGTATATTTGTTTGGGAGAGAAAAGAGAGGGGAGGAATAGGACCTGATGATGGTTTCCTTTGAAAGAGAGATCCATCTGTCCCTAAGAAACGAAGTGGAGGAGGGGGAGGAGGCAAAGGAGCTGTTGACTTTTTCCTAGGCAAGGGGCATTCAGCTGTTCCTAAGAAGGGAGGAGAAGGAGGAGGTGATGATGGCTTCTGAATAGAGGGAGATGCAGCTGTTACTGAGAACGGAGAAGGAAGGGAAGGAGCTGATGACGTGTTCTGAAGAGAGCGAGTAGCTGCTGCTGGGAAGGAAGGGGGTGGAGGAGGAGGTGTGTTCTGAAGAGAGGGAGGTAGAGGAGGGGAAGGAGATGATGGCTTGTTTTTACAAAAGGGAGAACCAACTTTTCCCGAGACAGGATGTGGAGCAGGGGAGGGAAGGGAAGGAGCTGGAAGCAGGTTCCTAAGAGAGGGAGGCAAAGCTGTTGCCGAGAAAGGAGGCATAGGAGGAGGAAGGGGTATAGAAACAGGATTTAAGTTGGAAGATGGAGATGAGATAGAGGCACAAAATAGAGGTGGCAGATGAAGATCAAGATGCAACTTCTGTTCAGTCTGCCCTGATATTTTAGTGTCTCCAGTAAATGTAGTAGATGGATCTGAAGGAGATAAGTGACAAGAAGACTTTGGTGGTGGTGGCAGTGGTGGTGGCGGTGTTGATTGCAGGAATGACCATGGTGCTGGTGGCACTGGTGGTGATGGCTGCAATGATGACGGTGGAGGCACTTGGCTAGAGAGAGTTTGAAACGGTTGTGAAGAAGATAAGTGACAAGCAGATTGTAGCTGTAGTGTTGGTGACTTTAGATTTGGTTGAGATGGTGTTGGTGGCTGCAGCAGTCCTGGTGTTGATTGTGTTGACAGCATCAGTTGAGTTAGTGTTGGTGGTAGAGGAGGGGAAGCTTTTGTTACCATTTCAGAATTAAAAGAAAGCTGCCCTGAAGGAAGCGAGGAACTATTGAGTTGCGCTGGCTTCAACAGACTTGGAATAGATGCTGAAATAGAAACCTGTGGAGTAACTGACTGGGTGACCTGATCGTGCAGTAGTTCTGTAATCCCAAGTATTGAGGGTGCACTGTGAAATCTGGAAAGTGCTACAGGTGAACCTTGCAAGGAACTAGAATATGTAGCTGGATTAGATTGTGAATTTTGAGAATTTCGTGGAGAAATGATGTTGGACTCACGGCGTCTTTGAACAGAAACCTGTACTTCTTGGGACTCAACCTTCTTTGTAATCAAGTTCAAATCCAGAGATGATTTAGAAGATGCCAAAGGTGTTTCACTTGGCGTTGCATGCACAGAACTTTTAATGTCATTCTCAAATTCTTTCGACTTTTTAGTCTCTTCATCTATAGCATGACTCATTTCCTGCAACCCGACATATTTAACACCATTAGAAGAAACACTAATAATTTCCTTTTGCACACTCTGGAAAGAGGCAATCTCCAATTTCCCATCATTAATTCTTTGAAGAAAACCACACTTCAGCTTTTTTTCTATGGCCGCCCGGAGAAGTGCACTCTCCAGTAATTCATTTTTCTCACTTTGTGTGAATCCGTTCTCCAAAGTTTCCATTCTAGCAATGGGAAGAGGAACAATCTCCAGTTTTTCTTGGAGAATTTCGGTTTCAAGTATATTTAGTGCAGCTTCTGTTTTTGGTTCCAGCCAATCCACACTGTTAAAAATCTCTTGAATTTTTGCAAATGCTTCAATAGGGAGACCTTCCTTGTCTTCAACACTGGTTAAATCAAGCCCGGCCAATGAAGGAGAGGAATCCATATCTGAGAAAAGAACCTTCAACAACCCAAAAGATGACAATTCAGAACTCAAACAATGGCATGCTTTAGTGTGATATATTTCAAAGAAAGAAGGAAAAGACATTTACCTCTGCGGTGAAGTCCTTTGGAAATTGATCCTTGATGTCCCATAGGACATCAATTTCATCACGGTTAAGCATCAATATATTTGATCGGATAAATGCCGTGTTGAACATTACCCGAAACATCATTTCTTCATGATCTAGATCACCATCCAATGTAATACACTCAAGCACAACATCACCTTGTACATGGCAATTGATATCAATTTTAACAAGTTCACAGTCTGCCTGTAATAATTTGGTGAAGAAATTAGCAAGGATAAAAGAAAAGAGCAAAAATCCTTTGTTCAACAAAGAAGATCAGAAAGAGTTGAAATAAGTTGCCATCATCATGTTTTCTAGAAACATATTGCAAATTTTCTCTTAATAGTTTAGATTATAAATGAAAGTTAACACAGAAAATTTAAACTGACGCAATTTTATGTTTCAAGGCTGAGCTGATAATACAATTCATCTTATTTCTACAGATCACCATTGTTTGACAGGCTTATATGAAAAAAAATTTAAGTTCAAAAACTTCTTTCAGGATATCTTGTAAAATTCAAAGGTTAATACATATACCTCAAATTTTAGACAAAGATGTGGTTGAAGTAAAAAAAAAAAAAAAAACTCCCAGTTTCATGTAGCAACCACCAACCAAATCCATACTGGACAGTCTTTATCGAGCAAATCCATTTGGAATTTCACAAATGGCACTATTACGTAATCATGTGTTATACTCATCCAAATGATCTTTACTCCAACTACAATATTTTTAATCAAGAATTAAGAACTTCTATGAAATTATCCTTCTTTTTATCATGGAACTTTCCTATAATAACGTGCAGACGTCAATAAGCAACTAAACGGAAACACCTAATTATGCTATTATTTTAATTATCCAATCAGGTGAACTGTCCGTTAAAGATTGCTATGTGATGGAGAACTATTGCCAAATTCTCAATCATAGTTCACACAAATCTGCAGAACCAGTCCAAATTTCAACAGGCATTAAAAGTACAAACTCTTTAGTTACATGGTAGAAGAAAGTTAATAAGTTGCATCAACTATTGGGATTAGAGTCTCTTAGCTACTCGAAACCCCAAAAAGAGAACAACAAATTGTCACTGAAGAACATTTTATGAACATCATTTGCAAAAGCTTGAAACAGAAGCATTATTCTATATATGCCCATAGAGTCTAAACTATATATTTTCAACTGTAAAGCAGGAGCCAGAAACATATTTCAGGACAAGACAAGCATACGAAAAAAATGCCTTAACTAAGAACTACCTGCTTGAAATGCCGCACAACTCTGCTCTTTTTAGGCATAGAGAAAAGAACCTTGGTAGTCCGATCAGCAGCCATAAAAGGATCCTGTCCGTATATCCTAAATATCGGACGGCAACCCCCCTCTCCATCCATATTAGGAATGAGTCTAAGGATAATGCAATCCAATGTCAACGCCCTATCCAGCGGAGGCCATTGTGAGCCCACATTCCTTCTGGAGACATATTGCAAATACCTCAGTTGTGAAGGCAATGGATTTAGAGGTGACAACATCTGCAAAAGTTGAAATGGTGCTTGCTTGTATATCATGTCTAAAGTTCTCTTTTCCCCGGTGTATTGCTTCCGATAAATCAAGAGGGCAGCCAGCATGAAAACCAGAATTGGCAACCCACCATTGTCACAATGCATCAAGAGGACGTTCATTTTCCCAAGTGAAAGCCAATTTTCGCTCGATCTCAAAAAGTGGTGGATCATTTCCATGGGGAGTAATGGGCAATTTTCATACTGACGAGGATAGTCCATCACAATCATGTCAAACTGAGATAGTATATCGGAAATCTGGCTTTGTTGTTCACCCCCCTTTCCGAAGTTAAACACCATGTATGAAGCATCAGGGAAGCATTCATGGAGTTGACCCACTATGCCTCCAATATACAATTTATAGTCATCATCCTCCAAAATATCAGTGGTAAAGCAGCAATCAAACACTACAAAGCCACAAGAAAAGTCATTTTTGAAGTACCATTTTAACACATTTAAAGGATTTATCATCTAGAAAGAGCATTAGTTAAAACACAGTGAATGCATTCTGGTTTCCTTCCTTTAGTTATTTAATCTTGAAAGCAAAGATGACCACCAAGATGTGCATTATTAAACTTAGTGCAAATTAACTGCAGATTCATTCATGAGCAGACAAATACACCAGGATCCCGGAATAAGGGAATGCAGAAGCAGAGTGTTCTGACTTCAATTAAGTAATTTAGATTACAATTTTACAGACACGGATGAAATTTCCAGAAATAATGAACATCAGTAAAATTACAAAATATTAAAATAATCTTTATGCATTAAATGATTTAAGCTGGATACAATGTACCACATAGTTACTGCAAATCCCATCACCCATTATGCTAACGAATAGCATCATATATCATACATTAATGTTTTTACCCTTGTCGTAAAATTGCAACCTACAGTAAATATATAAATACAAATAAAACGCCAGAAAATGTATTTTCAAGAGAACCCAATAATTTCCAACAAATAAAGAATCAAAATTTACAAAATAAACAAGAGGAACATACCAAAAACTCTGTCTGAGATCTCCAAAAGCCCATCAGGCGGCTTACGGTAGAAAATTTTACGAAAAAGGGCCATTTTTTCAACAAGATCCAAACATAATCAGCAATGCGAAACCCTTTATAATGCTAAAAATACCACCCACTATGCATCCAATCAGCTCAAACACATTTAATCTCAAAAGCCCGGGTCTTAAAATCCGGACAAAGCATACACATAAAACACAGTTATGCAGTGCATTACACAAGACCTTATCTTTTGTATTCAAGAAAGTGGAAGAAGATAATAGATTTTGCTGAGGCTCTAAGGAACACTTATTTCTTTTCCATGTGGAACATTTCTTCACATTCACACTGGTTGTGTGCGTTTGTCAGATAAACTTGGCTTTCAATGGGAGGAACCAAGAAAGAGAATTTTCCAAATAATGTTGAGATTTAAGATTTCTCTTTCTTTTTTTTTTTTCTTTTTTTTTTTCTGCAGTATCTAAGGAAAATGAAGACAACCTAGGATCAGATATCTGTCTCAAGTGAGAATGTCTTTGTCATATATGCGATAAGTGTGAATTTAGGTAGACGATTAACAGAATGTGGGATAACATAATGATGTTTGATGGCTCCTCCTGTACTCACTCTCTTGTCCCTTTCGTATATTGCCCTTTTGTTTAGAATCTCATTGATGTGCATGCGTCAACTTAAGGAAATTCCAAGAAAATGACAATCAATAATCAAATTATATATAAGCCTATGCTTGTCTCCTTTTTTCAAAAATGTTTTTCTCATACTCATTTTTAAATACACATTCATACAATTAAATATTTACATTTTAACCTAAAACTTTTTTTCAACTTTTTAATGACATACTCTTCAAAAAATCAATATTCCAAAAATTAATTTCCCCCAAAAACTAATTAAAAAGGAAGACAAACAGAGGCTAAAGCCCATCTACACTTGTCGCGAAATGACAATTTAAAATGATGATATACATTTGATTCTGCTTTAAGTTTTTAAATCAAATAGTTTAACATTAATATAGAGTAAACAAAAGAACTACGTTCGATTCTTGTGGTCGCTAATTAATTGTGCACGTTGATAAATTGTAACTTCTATACTTATTCATATCTTAATCTTGCATATTTGTTAGTAGTTTAGTTCTAGTCATTGTTGACTTCTTTGTGTTTTATATATAGGCCATGTTTGAGCCCCATTTTTATCTCATTAAAATGAAAAATATGATCGTTATCCATCACATCAAGCCACCATTTTTGAATTTCTATCTCTTGTGTGGGTCCCATAAAGGCTCTATTTTTTATTCTCATTCTACAAATAATGTGGTTCAAACAGGCTCATATTGTAGGATGGATCAAGATTCCAGGACGAGTTTTTGACAAAGTTTAAAAGATGTGGTGCTTTGAATGGAGGATGAAAGGATGTGGAGAAAATGAAAATGGAGGGGAGAAGGAAAAAGGCTAAGTAGACAATTTGTGCTATCCTCAAGAAGAATTTTGGCACACACCAAAAGGATGTTGAAGAACTATTACCACAATGCACATACAATGCATAGAGCATGAAACATTAGAGCGCGCCTCCCAAGAGAAGTGGATTTCTGCATTCCAACATGCTTGGTGACATCATTGTGCTCATGCGATCAATGTTGGGAAATAGACTCAAACGAGATTGGAAGTTTTGACTTTTTAAAGGTATTTTCGGGACTTCTAAATACAAATTTCAAGGTAACATGGTACACTATACCCTGTTTGGGCTCTATTTTAATGACGTTTTGAGAAAATGCATTTTGAAATACCAAGGAGGTGTTCTCTTTGTACTTTAGTTTTGTAGTTTTGAGTTTTGAATTCATTTTGAGTTTTGTGTTTAGAATGTTTGTTTTGAAATTGTTGAAAATGTGTTCTTTTTGTTAGTCCGAAAAACTATTTTTCAAAACAAAAAAAATGAAAAATATGTTTCCTTCGAAATTGTGAGAACCACCCCAAGACCACCACAACACCACCATGACACCACCAAACACCGTCAAAATCAACCCCACTACCACCACCATGAACCATCAACCACTACCACTACCGTCCACAACCACCAACACCATCGACCACAACCGTCCATTACCACCACCAACCACTGCCACCACTGTCCACAACCGCCAACACCTTCAATTACAAGAAAAAAGAACCAACAACACAATCAAAATTGGTTCGTGGACTGCCAGCTTAATTCGGCCCTATTGGCTCGAAATTGGTGATGAGCATGGGTTAATTTGGTGCGCCATGATGAGGCGGTGCTAGGGGTGGTGGTCCATGACCTTGGGTTGCGTCGTCAGCGTCGAACATCATGGTTGAAGGTCCAAGTTCGTTGTTGCGAAAAACAGCGCATCTCCTCGTTGCGATGTTGCGTCAGCGTCACCTCTCTACATAGGCGTCGGCACCGATGATCTCCCTTCGTAGTCGGCATCACCCTTCGTTGCCGGTGTCATCCGTCGTAGCCGGCGTCCAAGAGAAGAGAAGGCAAAGCCTTGTTTTGGATCGAAAACAGAAATAGAAGGAAGGCTTTGAAATGAAAAATAAAGGTGTTTCGCGTGTTTTCTATTTTTTTGAGTTTTGTACTGAAAACGTCCAAAACGATAAAAATGTCGTTTAGTTTTTTCTTCACAAATTTTTTTTTTTGTTTTCGAAAATGGGAAAGAGAACGCATTTTTAACGTTTTGAAAAATCGAAAACAGAAAATGACTCGAAAACGGCAAAGAGAACACACCCTAATTTTTTAGGGAATATATGATTAAAAAGAAAAAAAGTTTTGAATTTATGTGTAATATTATTTTGTTGAAAAATGTGTGGTTGAAAAGAAAAAAAGAAATTAAAATTAAAATAAAGTCCAAACAGGGGCTATAATTACCTAAATTCTCATACTTCAAAGGGTTCTACAATCTTGTTTTCAATGAGACCCCTCTCTTTCAAGAGGATTCGCGGAAAAACTAAATTAAGGTTTGAAGCAAATCAATAGAGAAGCTTAAAGGAGGTTTTAGAAGTGCAAACTACAGAATTCATTGTTGATCTTCTGCTTTTTTATTTTTTTCTTTAAAAAATTAAGTAATACTTATTATTTAATTCAATTTGTGATACATTTGAAACAATATGTAACTAATTTAAAAGGTTAGGATAATGTTCCACTTCGTCAACCAGGCTCAATTTATTGCCTACGCGGCATACTACTCGGCATCCTATCAGAAGTTAAGTCAAGAACAATGCATCATCTTGGTCAAATATGGATGAAGCCACTAAGCGCTTCGATTTTGGCCCATGAGAAGAACCACTATTATCTATGGCCCTTTTATCGAAGCTTCTTTGACTCTAAAGGCTTCAGATCAAAGAAGGTTCCGAAAAAAGATCCATTTTGTAATGATCTAAAGAAAATGATTGTGTAGGAAATCAAGAGTAATAGTGTAATTGATTTTTTTATTGTACCATATTTAGTTCTTACCTTAGTTAGTTATACTAATTATGAATCTTTTCTCATCTCCTAATTTAGGAAATTTATTTCCTTCTTTCCTTACTCACGTTTGTATTATAATTAAGGCTATAGATTATTCATTCAATATATGAGAAATTAATCTCTTTTACATGGTATCAGAGCCGGGCTATTCTAAGCCTAATAGCCGATGACGGAAGATCCCATCAACATCTTCATGAACCCTAAATTTTCTAACATTGAGATAGAAATAAACTTACCATGGGTTTTACGAGAGTCGAAAATGCCTCCTTTCAGCTTACGGTGGAAAAATTGAATGGAAAAAACTTTAGAGAGTGGGTTCAATCGATTAAGTTGGTAATTGAAGGCAAAGAAAAGCTTGATTACCTGACCGGAGAAACAAAGAAGCCTACAGATGCCGTCCAGTTGCAGAAGTGGAAACTAGAGAACTCGCTGGTTATAGCTTAGCTGGTGAACTCAATGTAGCCAGCCATAGGAAGAACGTATCTTTTTCTCCCAACAACAAAGGATGTTTGGAAAGTCGTCAAGGAGGTCTACTCAGACCTTAAAAACTCATCACAAATATTTGAAATTAAAACTAGATCGTGGCAAACTAAATAAGGAGACAGAGAGGTTACGGAGTATGACTTGGAGATGACGTTCCTATGGCAAGAACTTGATCTTAGTTAAGAATAAAGTAGGAATGCCCCAGAGACAGTGTAAAGTATAAGAAACACTCAAAAATGAATGAGTCTACGAGTTTTTTGCCGACCTCGATTGGGAACTGGATGATGTTAGAGGTCGAATGCTAGGACAACAACTGCTACCTTCAACTAGGGAAGTTTTCATCGAGGTGAGAAGAGAGGAGAATCGTCGAAAAGTTATGATGACGGAGAGGACGACCGAAGAAATTGATATCATGCTTTTGTTAAAGGAAATTGGACGTTGAAGAGGAAAATAAACAGGGCATTTTCATTTCCTGGAAGTGGGCTTTCAACTTTTGGCTAAAATACAAAGAATAGTGGGCTGTTAAAAGGCGATACCGAATCTGGACCTTCAAAAATTGGGCTTTCCAAGTCCTCAAAATATGGGCTCCTTAAAATTGAACTAAAAATTACAGCATTATCTTCAAAATTTGGAAATGGGTCAAGTCAAAAGCAACAAAAAAGACGTCTCTGGTGTGAGCATTGTCAAAAGCCAGGACACAGGAGAACACATATTGGGATATACATAGAAAGCCCAGCAATTGAAAATTAAGACAGAACATTAAAAATCATAGCTATCAAGCGTTGGTTGACCAAATTGAAAAATCTAAGGAAGTAAAAATGGAGCATTCAGTTCTGAGCAACTATAGCAACTCTATCAAATATTTTTGAGCCTCCAAACGTCGAGTGAAACACCCACACATGGTCCTTAAAGCTTTAAATATTTCCTTAAGATATAAGATTTCTTGGATCCTTGACTCGGGTGCCTCCAATCACATGAAGGTTGCCTACCATCTGTTCAATACATATTCACCCTGTGCTGATAATATTAAAGTGAAAATTGTTTAAGGGTCACTTTCATCTGTTACGAGAAAAAGAAGTATTCAAATTTTCGAGTCTATAACCTTAAAATCTATCCTTCATATTCCAAATTTATCATGCAATTCATTATCTGTCAGTCAATTAACAAAAGACTCAAACTGCTATGCTAATTTCAATCAATCTTACTGTATATTTCAGGATCTATCATCAAGGAAGATGATTGACAATGCTAAAAAGTGTAAGAAACTCTACTACTTCGAAGAAGTCAATATGAATAAATAACGTCAACTTGAAATTTGTAATTCTATGTTCGTCTCTAGGGATAATGATATTCTATTATGGAATTATAGAATGGGCCACCTGAACTTACAATATTTACGACATGTTTTTCCTTCTATTTTCTTGAATAAAACATCTATTGACTTTTAATGTGAAATATGTGAGTTTGCAAAACACCACCGTACTACTTTTGTAAAATCCACATATAAACTTTTAAAACCTTTCATTATAATTCATAGTGA